TCGTCTGCCTTCTTATTTATTACTGATTTATATAAGCCAAATTCTGCTCACATATGTGGATACGTACACACGGGTGTAGTCCTCCGGCAATTCCAGCTTTCATAACGTACAAGAAATTACCGGCAGCCTTCAATTAATGAATTTTTGATCTCGGTTAATTTGGTTTATATTAAAATAAGTATGTCGTCATTAATATAACGATAATAATACATGTACATTTGAATAAAAGTATGAGTGTCCGGTTGTTTTGTCTTCGACCGTACTCGATGCAACCCGACGAAAATCTGGACAGTGGGGATCGCGTAGCGTAGAGTAGGGTAGCGTTGCGTGGCATCGGGCAGACGTGCACGGGGGTAACACAATATTATAGAACATTGGACTTTGGATTTGCTTTGGGTTGCATCGGGTAACGTCGCATAGCGTTGCATCGGGTAAGTGTGTTCCCCGCTATACAGATACTGTGGTTTGAACGTAGTCTGCCTATTGTGGTAGTGCTGAAACGCTCAAACCTTCCTCTAGTGAACCAAGGTTGGCAACCGACCTTAGGAAAGATAGATTTATACCACTGTCCAGTGCTTGAAGATCATCTGTATCTACTGTGCCACGCTTCAATTGATCTTTTTTTATAACATTGATGGCATCGTAATGTGATATTTTAAATTCTCTATCTATTACTGTTTTTTTTTGTAGCTACCAGCTCATTAGCTTTCTCGTTTCCTATCAATGAACAGTGACCTCTTACCCATAAGAGTCTAATATGTTTACCTTTATTCCTGATCGTTTAATTTGTTAATAATTTTAATTTTCAATTCTGTATGGTAAGATTTAGTAAGGTTTGGAGTTCTAGTGAAGAGGTCTAATTAGAGAAAGGTTACGATGCATATTTACTGTTGGAAGCGTCATAGTATGCACCACCCGATTTTCCATCCAAGTTGGAACCGTCTGAGAAAGTGGGGTATTATTTAAATTAACATCACGGAAGAAGAAATTTATTGGAATGGAGTGGATCGAGGTCACGATAGCTCAAGTGGTAGAGCAGCGGCGTATCTAGCCAAAGATCGTGGGTTCGAATCCCGCTCAAGACGCTGCCTTTTTTATCTCAACTAAAACCCTTAATTAATTGAAACTTAAATTTATGTTTATACGAATAACTTTTTTTTTATTTTTATAATTTGTAGTACATTACAACTACCTTAAAGTAGGTAACAAGTAACAGTGAGTAAGGTAATTAAAACAAGACAAAATTAAAAAACAAGAGTGGAGAAAACACCCATTGGTATCACTCCAATACAACAATAATATTGTTTGTTCAATTGATACGTGTGTCATTATCACTTTCACTGTCATCACCATCACTTCCTAGGAGATCTCGCGGCCATTGTCTCTTCAGTCGGCGGGGAGGGTTTGAGGGGATTCGACGGGATGCGAGGTTTCTGATGTGTTGGTTTACGTTAGTTGGGAGGTTTTTATGAAATTTACGGTAACGGAATCGTATTTCATCTTGTACGAAAGGAATATGTAAATCTGTATGTCTAGTTTGGTTCGATACATAAAATGGAGCATCTAGTATTTTTCGAAGTATTATAGACTGGGCAGTTTGAATGCGGTGGATATTGGATTGTTTGGCTGAACCCCACACTTCCAGTCCGTAAGTCCAAATCGGCTTAACTATGGTGTTGTAAAGCAGCCTTTTATTTTTGAGAGGTAAATTAGAGCGTTTGTCAAGAAGTCGTGCAAGAACTCTAAATCGTGTCATAACCTCCTGACGTTTCAGTCTTGTGTGAGGATTCCACGTCAGGCGTTTGTCGATGTACAATCCGAGGTACCGCACCTTGTCCGCAGTTGGGAGGGGAATATTGTTTAAGAAAACAGGGGGGGAGATCTTTTTACGAAGAGTGAAAGTAATGTGGGTGGATTTGTCTGGGTTAAATTTTATCCTTTTCTTTTTACACCAAGACTCTAGTAGTATGAGGTGTTGTTGGAGGTTTTGAGTGGAAATGACAAGGTCGGAGTTGCTAGGGAGAATTGCAGTATGGCAAATATGGTACAAAATTGGTACTGTATGGTACAAAATTGGCAAATCGAATGATCGGAATCGACCAAACCACACGTTTATAATCATTATTTGAGTCTGCTTATAACTGGTTGGTATTTCGGTTTGTGATGGTGTGTCCTACGAGTCAGATCATCCAAAGGCCATCTACGGTCAGTACTTTTGATAGGTGAGAGCTTCACTACCGACACAGCTGATGCTGCCAATTTATTTCAATAATGTTTTCTAATGCATTTTTAGCGTAAGAGGGCCGGATCGCTATAAGGTCGGATTTAGGAGGTTTTGTAACCCTCCAGATCTAAGTCTGGTACCTAGGCACCTACCACCGTCTCACTTTTTATCAACTGCGCTATTGTCATCCATAAAGTTTTTATATTTGTGTGGTGATTAGTGACCGTTAATCGATATTTATTTAGAAATCGTGAGATGCGGTCTGGTGTGATGTAGGTTTCGTGCTTAACATTTTAACGCATTTTTTAAATATGACGATATATGAAAATAATATTTGAAAAAATATAAAAACTTTATTTATTTAGAAATCGTGAGATGCGGTCTGGTGTGATGTAGGTTTCAGAAAAAAAGTTCATTATCGTGCCAACGTTTCGATCTTGATTGAGATCATCTTCAGCCTGGGAATTACAAACATTGTTTAAATTTAACAAATGCATGTAGGATGTGGAAAAAAGTGAATTTATGCAATGCAAAAATTTTTTTTTAAATATATTCAATCAAAGTATTTCTATTCACTCAAAGTGTTTGTTTTCTGAGTAGAAATACTTTGATTGAATATATAAAAAAAAATTTTTTTTTGCATTGTATAAATTCACTTTTTTCCACATCCTACAAGTATCTGTTAAATTTAAACAATGTTTGTAAATCCCAGGCCCTAAAGATGATTTCCATAAAGATCGAAACGTTGGCACGATAAAGAAAATGTTTTTTGAAACCTACATCACACCAGACCGCACCTCACGATTTCTGAATAATCATAATTTATTAACCGTATTGAATAAAATTAATTAGGAAAGTTATGAAAACTAAACCTATGCATAGCACACTACTTGGTCCTAAGTTCTTACACTAGACAATATCCTGACCTAATATTAATTTGCTTTTAATAGACCTCTTCATTCTGCTTGATGGGGACTTTCCTTATGTTAAGCTGTCATAAATACCTTAATTACTTATTCATTGTATTCTGTGTTTTCTGTACTAAAGGATAAGAGTGCTATTAATTCAAATCACAAGGAAATAAATACACATTGTCGATTGTAGATTTTTTTCGTATTTAATATTTTGAAACCTTCAAAAGAGTAAAAATAATATGTTTCAATTTGTTCTGCCGGCTTTAATGAAAAAATTGTTTATTAACTTATGAATTATTTTATTTTAAATGAATGTCAGCAAGTAAGTCAATTGGTACGTTTCTTTATAAAGCTGCCGCTCTGAGTTGGAATGGGAATTTCTTTTTTATCCTCGGAACATTTCATCTTTGAAAGACATTTTTATTGTCAAATTAAAATATAAATTTGGGACATCTTCACTAAAACTTTGCAGGATAAAAGAACATTTGTCTTGAGCACTTCGGTAATGAAGTTAGAATAATTATTCTCGATGTTCACAGAAATCCATTAGATGTGACAGGTTTATTGACTTCGGAAATCGTTTGCCTTTCGGAATCTTAATGATTTCCAAATTTGTCTGTGGTAGGACGTCTCGATTGTAAATCTGATGTTTACTAATCGATTTTGTGTTATTTACAAAAAAACTGCCATACTTCAGATGTGGATTTGCTTCTAATCAACTTAAAATCGAATAATCAACTCTGATATTCATCAGTATACAACAAAAACTGGAAACATCGTAGAAGTACGTATCCAGCGATAGATAAGCCATCAGTAGTGCCTCTTCAGGTGCGTCAAGCCTTTTTATGTTCAGCCTTCTTTGACGATGTTCTGAGGAAGATTTAGTGCTCCAAAGATCTGTCCATAACCATGATTATATCAATATATTGTGAAGAGACGCTGTTCGGATGGGAGCTTCCATGAGCCATCTGAATTAACCTGACCATTTTTGCAGTACCATAATTTTTTTAGTTCGAACGGCCTTGCCTTTTTTAGCAAGACACTGATGTAAATAAACTTACTTAAGGGATCAATTCCTAAGTAACGTACTGTATCTACAGTTTCTCTTGTGATTGGAACCGCTTTTCTTTCTAGGTTAGACCTTTAGGGTATTTTTTATGAAAAAATAAAATGCAATTATAATAACAGCAATAATAATTATAATTATTTATATGTAGGATGTGGAAAAAAGTGAATTTATGCAATTCAAAAATATATATTCTTTTAATATATTCAATCAAAATATTTCTGAATTTATACAATGCAAAATATATTTTTTATACAAAAATGTCTTTTCTATACCGACATCCTTCCCCACCCCTTCAAAATCCAACGTATATAAACACAAAATAACAAAATCTCACTGGCACTCTCGACATGACAGGCAAGAATGGCACAATTACACAGAAGACAAACACTTTGAGTGAGTAGAAATACTTTGTATGTTTGTATCACGTAATTGTTATAGGTAAACAATCTTTGTAAATCCTAGGCCCTGAGGATGATCTCAATCAAGATCGAAACGTTGGCACGATAAAGAAATTTTTTTCTGAAACCTACATCACACCATACCGCATCTCACGATTTCTAAATAAATAAAGTTTTTATATTTTTTCAAATATTATTTTCATATATCGTCATATTTAAAAAATGCGTTAAAATGCTAAGCTGAATAAAACGAAGGACGTTAGTGATATTTAATTCATAAAAACCTATGTTTATTATTGCATAAGAGGTTTAACAAGCACTTACTAAAGAAAGATTTTTTTATTTATAAAGCAGTTCCTTATTTATTCTAATAATAGTTTATCCTTTTGTTACAGGCATGACAGAGCTGCTGAGCAGAAACAAGCTGTTGGATGGTAAGATCTAAGTTGTTTTAATTCTTCCGGATTCATAGGTTTTCATCGTTTTGGTGGGAATGGGTTTTGGATGGGAGACCTTTTGGACGAGACAAACGGGCCGGAAAGCTGCATCATACAATATAGGTTTTCGGAACATTTATCTCCCTGCCCAATCAATGAATCGGATACCGCGACAAAACCGCCATGGCAATTAAAACGGAATAAACCGGAAAGGAAAATTTTCAACCAAATCCCAGGGCTAATGAATTTGAAATTGTGGAAATTCATTTATAGCAGGATATACTGAAAAAGGTTTTTTTATGTTTTAAAAATATTATATAGCCAATTCTCAACCTGTCGTAAAATGCATTATTTACGACCTGAACTGTTCTCCTAAACTGCATCTCTTCCTTTCTAAAGGGTAAATGTCAAGACAATGACAACAATCCTTTCGATAGTCATACTTATTAGTTAACTTCTCTTCGACATAGTACAGCCCCTTGAATCCTTAACCACAGATGTTAAATCCGTCTGGTTGGCTGTCAAAATGATGTTGGAATATCACACAATTGACTAGTCCTCGATGTGGAGCGACTTGGAAAAATCTAACCTCTTTAGCTCATTTGAACTGGACGTTTCGCTTCATCATATACAGAGTGTTGCAAGGTTCAATCTCAATATTTCCATGGTGGATTTATTAAATAGAACGTAGTACAATGTCACCTGAACGTGGTTTCTATCTTGATACTTTCCTGGAGATTAAAATTTTTGTGATTTTAGTCTAAAATCTGATTTTTTACATAAAATCGTAATTTCTCTACTTTAGCCTCATTGAAATAGAAATCTGACCTTTATTTCACCAACTGCATTAAATGTCCGTTAAGATAACAACATATTCATGTAAAAAATTCCAATACATTGTAGCCGCTCTAAGAAAAATAAAATTGCAAAACCCACGTATATTTTTAAATACTCAATTGTGGCTCCTACAATGACTTTTCCATCAAAATTCTTGGAGATTTCGCAAAATTTGCCTTAGTATATAAGTATTCCAACGGCTTTCTCACTTTTATTTTTTTTAAATTATTTTTTAGTGCTTGACGGTTGAAAAAAGTGAAATCGAACCCAAGAACATCGTACAGGTCATTAACTGGTAGCAAAAGTTAGATCCATTCTTTTCATAAAAGTATTACTATACAATTAAAGAAAAATTACTATAAATTATTTTGTACTTTGTAAAGGATGTGTTTCATTGTGCAAACGTATAACCAATTAATAAATGTTTTTATTAAAAATATGATATACACGATGTTCTTGTGTTATTCTAAAAAATGTAAATGTGGGTATGTTGGAAAACTTATAAAATAAGGCAATTTTGGTGAACGCAACTGAAATTTTGATGACAAAGTCATTGTTCGAGCCATTGTGTATGTCCAAATAACATGGTTGGGGGGGAGGACTCTGAGACATACCAACAAGCCCTCAAGGCGCTTAAAATGGCCGTGGTGTTGGAAGAATACCCGGCAAAGGAATTAACAACCGATCAGGGCAGAACCGTTCAGCGGGCCATCCTGGCTGAGGTCTGGAAGAGCAAAAACTCCCAGGGACCTCAGTTCAGGAATGGATATGTTGAGAAGGGAGCGGTCCTGATAACTTGTGAAAATCAAAGTGCCAAGGAATNTTTAACCTAGCGTACGAAAAAGACACAGGGAACCAAATTGCAGCAATAACAGTCAATGACTTGATGCTTCTGAGAAGAAGGATTGAGTCTATTGACTAAACTAGGGAACTGGGAAGGTACAATAAGCCGGAGGGCTGCAGTGCCCGGGGAGTGCAAACCCCGCTTCCTAGTATCCTTTTCTACCATACCATACCATACCAACATGGGTTTTGCCATATGCTTTTGTGGGAGTAGTTACATGGTGCATTCGGAAGCACGAATTTATCACGAAAATATTAACTCGTGGGACTTTTCAAGTCAGCTGAAGTGAATTCCTCAACGTTCACAACTCCTCGAACTGGTCCCAACTATCTTCCAGTCTCAGGTCCATGCAACGGGAGCAAGAGTTGGCTCAGGGTACTGGGGTTTATGTAGAAGAATATGAAACATCCAAGGATTTACAGATTCACAATCAGGCGTAAAGACACTAAATGCTTATGCTTTTACTTTCAAGCTAGACTGGAATATCAAAAGAATATGCAGGACGTTTTCAGTAAAGTCGGTAAAACATTTAGTTTTAAGAAAGCTTCCGAGTTTTTATACCAATCAAAAAATAAGCATGTTGAATTTTAATTACGTTAGCCGAGGGAAATTGTTTTTTTCTCCGAGGCTCGGTGTTACATTTACAAATTCATAATTTCTCAGCAGTAAATATAAAATTAACTTAATTACAACCGTTAGAAAGCTGAATTTAACGAGGTATAAATTATATATTTTTATGAGTATGTTATATAAGGTTAAAATTAACAAAATTCTCCAACGTTTTATTTTTTATCTCCGATTCTAATTTAGTAATTGAATCCGAGTTTCTGCCAGTACGTGTAGTTTATCGAGTGCTAAACCATAAATACGTTTTATGAAGATGTGTTGATTAGTTACAAATTTATCACAATTCTAAGGCAAATGCTAGAAGGCGAGAAACGAGAGAATATTTTAATTAAAAAATCAAGAATTTTTATTTTCCAAACAATTTGTAATGATGGGGTTTCATGGTGCGAAAAAACGAATATCAATGTTTCTTGTAAAAAAAAAAATAACCTACTTTGCTTAGTCGCTCGTTCACTGTGTCAAATTGTATTTAGCAACTTGGAATGGGCATCGTAAATTCTGAAATACCTGATTTGTCACTCGGCAACATAGGTATGTAGGCAGCATATTTTTGTACTCTCCATACTATGAATCCCTGGTTAATTTTTTGTGTGAAAATGAATAATCAAATTGTTTCATTTCGTCTTGTTCTTGACCCTTTGCACCAGTCTTCGATAGGCACAAGGTTTCTTGGATTGTGGATGATTCTAGTAAGAAGACAAAATTGCTGTAGGTGGTGATCGTATTAGGGTATATAGGTAGGTAACCGGTATAAATGACCAAGAATTGTCCCTTTGTGGGGGGGACGGCTTTTATCTGCCTGGCTTAGGAGAACTCGTTGACATATACAGAAAGTAGAAAATCCAGTTTTACGATTGACATATCGTCATAGTTGGATAAAATCATGAGAATTTATGAATGTTTAAGTGGAACTATAATAAACAAAAAAAATGCTCTCGGATAATTGAACTCAAAGGTATGAAAATTCTTATTTAAGGGCTTTAAAGGGTGTACAAAACAATTCCTAACTGTCGTTTTATACGTAATATATAATAAATATTTACTTTACAGGATAAAAATTCCATACATTTATAGTTTTTTGCTCGGCTCCTAGCTCCCACCGAGTACAACACTGGGACAATTTTTGACGTATTGTCAAATACAAACAAATACAAATAGATAAATATTTGTTTTTTTACCCCTACTAACCTTGAAAAAACATGCAAAACGTAGTGAGAACACCATAGATGAAAATTTGCTTAAAATATCTTTTGCCTACAGTTAAGAGCTTTAAAGGGTGTATAAAACAATTGATATCGGTCTTTTTGAAAAATATTTTTCTAAACTTTATTAACAGTGAAATGTTTTTGATGTTGAGAATAAGATTTTTACATGATACATGCACAACAAAGGCAAAACATAGATAAGTATTACCCAAATTACTTAAAATATCTTTTCCCACTTGTTAAGGGCTTCAACAGGAGCTGAAAACAATTCCTAATTGTTGTTTTGAAAAATATATTTTTTTACCTTTAATAACAGTGAATTACATACGCAACAAAGGCAAAATACCATGTATAAAGATTATTTAAAATATCTTTTTCCTCTGCTTAAGAGCCTAGAAGGGTGCATAAAACAATGCCTAACTGTCGTCTTGAAAATATGTTGTTTTTAAGATTTAATAACAGTGAAATACATGCCCAACAAAGGAAAAATACTATAGATAAAAATTACGAAAATTACTTAAAATATATTTTTTCTCTAGTTACGGGCTCAAAAGGGTGTATAAAACAATTCCTAACTGTCTTTTTTTTAAATGTTACTAACCTTGAAATACATGCCCAACGAAGGCAAAACACCATAAAAATTACTTAAATTACTTAAAATTTCTTTTTGTTTTTGTTCGGCTCCTAGCTCTCATTGGATACAAAACTGGGACAAGTATCTCATATTTTTCGACGTATTATCAATCCAAAATATATTCCATCACAATTGGTAATAAGAAATAAATATTATATTAAATGTTTTAAATTAAATGCCCAAACAAAATTTTTCTGTGTTCACTCTGTGAACGAGTAGTAAGATTTAACTTTATAGAATAGCTAAACATTCACGAGCGGGACTCAAACCCACGACATCTTGATTAATACCGCTGTTGCTCTACCACCTGATCAGGTTGGTGCAAATTAATGCAAGTTTTGAAAATTTATTTTATGTTTTCAGGTGCTTGTCATGTAAACAAAGTTAAATCCTCAAATCTAATTTGTGGTTTATAATAAATACTTTTATCTGTTACCTTTTAAACAAAACATTTTAGTTTATATTGAATTGTACAAGTGTAAGGACAAGCGAAATTAAATATGTCCAAAATTTTCGTTAAATTTATTTGTACGAATTTAAACTTCAGTGAAGTGCAGGCCACACTTCGCGTGACATCATTATAGTTTGGCGGGCGGGAAGCATTAGCGAATGCACGGTGCAGCGCTGATTTCAGAGATTAGGATCGCGTGGTATGCCTTCTGTTCTGGACGACGACCAACTCAAAACATTAAAAGAAAAAATTCACTAACACAAGAGGGGAAATAGCGGAAGAGCTTAGTGTTGACCACTCAACCGTTGTTTGCCATCTGGAAGAAATTGGTAAAGAAGCTCGTCAAGTGGGTACCGCACGAACTGACCAAAACCCAAAGAAATTGACGCTTGGAAATTT